CGAACCCCCATACAAAGGAGATCGACGTGTCGCTCCTTGATTGGCCACTTCGCCCCCGCCGTTATCTTACAACCAGCGGACAGCGGCAGTGGTGTGAACTTAGCGAGAAAGTCGCTAAATTTAGAGTGTTTTCAGTCGTCCTAACGACAATTTTGTGTTTTTGGAGTCTTAACGACTTTTTTGGGGACTTCTTTTTTTTTTTTTTTTTTTTTCTAGTTATGTAAATTGTTACTAAAGCTACGTGAACGGGGGGAAAATATGTCAGTCGGATAGCTCTCCGGTGGCTTCCAGGGGACAGCTCTGGATGTCACTCATTTTTGTTAATTTTTATTCATCCGGTTGTGGGTGAGGTGACGTTCTCCGACCCCGAAGCAATTCCCTCGCTTTAACGCGGGTTAAAGCGAGGGTTTTGTTCGATAAGGATGAAGCAGAACAGGCTTCCGCTGTTTTGTTCATGGACCAAGATCTTCTCGCCAACGCCTTGAGTCACTCAAGGTGTTGGCGAGTCCTTGGGAATGGGACGGCCCACAAAAACAAACAAAAAAAAACCTTTACGTTTTATAAAAAAAAAAAAAAAATCCGAAAAAGGTCATCATCATCATCACCACTCAGCGACTTTTCGCTAAAACTGGCGACTTTTAGGTCGCGTCCTGACGACTTCGCCCAAAAAAACTTAACAGCACTAGACAGCGGTCTCGCTTGTCTCTTCTTCCTGGGATTCGGCGGCGGCGACAACGGGGACCCTTCCGGCGCACCGGTGAGCGTTTACCCCGTACTTTGTACATTTGTGAACGACCGTTCGGCCGTGGGCGATCTCCACACCGACGGCGTTCACCAGCTTATAGCCGCTGTGTTGTTGTTATTTTGTTTCATTGTAAATAAACAGTTTATCACCGTTACCAACGTGACTGGTGTCTGTTTGCGCCCAACGAGCAGCATGCCACGCGAGTACGAACCCGCTTCGCGGTAGAGCGTCTCGCCGCGAACGTGGAACTCCCAAAGGCAGTGGCCCTAAGGAGAACCACAGCGTCCACACCCCATGACTCGGCATTTTTCGCCTGGACTCTGATGAGCGCTGGAAAAGTGTATGCGGAGCTCAAGTTCGTCTGCTTCTTTTGCAGGGTCCTTGAGGTCTACCACTATCCTTCAGTGAGTGCAATCAGGGCTCGGTGTTCTGACGTCACCACAGCCCCTGCAAAAGAAGCTGACGAACTTGTGTTCCAGGTAGCCTTATCCCCCGCACAATGACACCATCCCCCACGCACACACACAAGTATTTCCCGCTCGAAGTACAAGACCCGTGGCATAGATGGATGGATAGATGGTGGCTATTCCCTCTGAATCGGGCGGTGATTTGCTCCACCTAGCCAAGTAGTGTTTTTAGTTCAACACTGAAATTTCACTACGTCACTTTAAACGAATATAATCTATCAGTGGCGTAGCGAGGAATTTTTTTCGGGGGGGGGGGGGGGGGGGGGGGGGTGGCTGGCTGGCTGGCTGGCTGGCTGGCTGGCTGGCTGAGGTGGCCAGGATGTCCCATGACTTGGGATGCGGAGAGGGCGGGGGGGGTCAAAATGTATGTGTATATTATAGGGTCGGTTGGGGATTTCGGGGGAGGGACTAAGGCCTGGTTCACACTTACAGCTAATCCGCTGCCGCCGGAGCGGAATCAGCCGCGGCAATGCACAGTGGACGCTACGGCCGGCGGCCGAATTCTTGCAGATTCGCCCGCCGATTCGCAAATGTGAACCAGGCCTAAAGCCCCATAAGCAACCCCCCCCCCCCCCCCCCCCCCCCCCCCCGCCTCCCAGCTACACCGCTGTAATCTATCCGTCCGTTGATTGTCGCCACCATTCCTCTAATCTTCTTTTACTGATTCCTAGGCTCCCTACTGATTCCTACATCTACCTCTTTCAACACGGCAGTACACTCCCCCCCGGAGGCCTTTGGAGAAGTTTGTTACACCCTTCTTCAGATGAACAGTCCTGGATAAAGCTTTGCGGTCCATCCACTTGAAAACGGAGTAGGAACTCCTGGCGTGGCCGTCGGCAGAGGCCATCGAGGGCCGGACCTCAGGGGCCGTCTCAGGCCGACGTCGCAGCCAGGGACGCTGTCGGTCGTTGTCGGGCGACGTCTGCGCGTCTGCCCGCCATCCCCTGGGCGGTGCGGCGGAGCGGTTGTGCAAGCGGCGAGGCGGCGGCCTTTGGGGCCGTGCGCGGGCCCCTCGGAGGGCTCCCTCGGAATGCGGCCGTAATGAATCGGCGCGTGTGGCTGCCGCCGATCGGCGTATTGGGTGAGACCCGGGCGGCCCATCGGTTATTTGCTGGCGCCAGGGCGAAACCCGACCCAGCGGCCGCCAGCGCCTGCGGGGCAGCTCGCCATCGCAGTGTCTCTCGTCGACGTGCTCTCTTCTTGCGGGGACAGCGCAAAAGCGATGGTCGCCCGTGCAACGCGTTAACCTCGAGTGTGCGCCTGACCGACAGGCTTCCTCTCTATTTGTCGTTGGGCGTTGTCTTTCAGCTACAGCTGCGCTGCTAATACGCCATACAAAGACAGACAGGCCTTCCTTGGTCATACAAAAGCTCTCTGCAGACGTGTTCGAAACGTCTCCATGATTCACACACGCCGCGTCGAACGCGCTTGAGGCGCCTCCGCAGATAATCCTGTCCTCGTGTCCCGCAGCGATCTATGAACAATGCGACTGCGGCTTGACCTTGTCGAGGCCCCCCCTTGGTTGGATTTGATTGTCGTTACTGGGTTTGCTTTGATCGATTATCCGCGGGGTGCACACGACTCCCGATTCTGACGATAAGCCAGTAATTAGAAAATTGAGCATTTCCAAAGATTTTTAGAGCGCAGCTCTTAGGTGCTCGTTCCCTTGTTTCGCGGCGTCGCCGTCGGCGTAACCGCGCGCGTTACATTATGGGACGTCACAAACCTATACACCAATTCAATTCCCCGCTAGATATAGCTAGCGGGGAAACTGAATTGGTGTTGAGGTCACGTGGCGTCAATTTTCCAGCTGGGAAACTGTGGGAGGAGGAGGGACACGAGAGGGGGCAGGGGAGGGTACGGTGTAGGAGGAGAGGGTAGGGAGTATCTCCCCTCCCCCTCCTCCAACCCCGACTTCCGTACCCTCCCCTCCTCCTTCTCAAGAGCTACGCTCCAACGTCGCATTACAAAGATTTAAAAAAAAAAAAATTAAAATAAATTACTTCTAGATTTCTTTTTTTTTTTTTTTTTTTTTTAGTGTGGGCGCGGATGGGGAGTTGATTCAAATTTACTTCACGAATGAGAAGGCGTGGGATCGTCACGTGTGTAGCTTTATCACATGCTGCTATTAGTTTCGTTTTATTGAAGGACGTTCCTGACTTGGTGGGTCGCCATTGTTTTTTTTGGGGTTTTCGCTGTACCAATTACTGCTTCGTCGTACATACATGTATTGTCTTTCTAATTTGAACATGGCGGTTCAATGCTCAGCGTGCTATATAGCATTTAAAAATGGCGGGATTTAGCGCTCCCCGAGAAGCTTGATCGGTCCCACTGACGCGTCGCGTTGGTAGCGCTCAAACTTCACCATGACACTTTTTCCCCCCTTTTCGCGTCACTCAACCCCCCCCCCCCCCCCCCCCCCCCCCCGTCTCTTTTTTTTTTTTTTTTTTACGAGGAGCTTAATGGGGCATTAATATCATGTCGAGCTGGCGGGAGAATCGTGGAAACTGCATCACCCATTTGTGGACAGCATCGTTAAGATTTCGAAAATAAGGCGAACAAAACGCAATGCACGAGTTGCATTTTTTTTTATTATTATTATTGATTTGTTGGGGAGGCGTAATTTTGGAAGAAAACTATTTCTGTTCCGTGTGACGCTCGGAACGCTCTTGGAAGTCAATAATCGTAAATCCAACCCTTGTATTTTTTTTTTTTTTTTTTACCTGGCGAGTTGATGATAAAAAAAAAACAAAAACGGTCGAAGTAAGCAGGCTTTAAACGCCTGCATGTGTGGGGCAGAGATATCACGAGGAAGCACTCGCAATTGTCCGCGTACCTGCATGAGAGCATAATCTGGTGGAAGCAAATAGCGCTCAGGATCGAAGAAGTTGTTTGTGTAAGGGAAATATGGGAACCAAGAATAGGAGATATGTTTGCCCTCGATACTGCATGTAGCATATATGTACACACATTGTTCGGCTCGCCCCTGAAGTTTGCCTCGCTCTATTTTTAAATTATCCTTCAATCCCGGCGAAAAGAATTCTGAGAACCCTCGCATGGTTCTAGTTTTTTTACGTTTTCTTTTGGTTGCTTTTGCGTCCAGATAGCTAACACACATTTACCTATTACTTCAGGACGCGTGCTCTGCGATGCTAAATTCCACATGTGCTATGAACACCGACCCGCCTGCTTTACTTTTCAGCAAACATGTCACTGGCTTGAAAAGGCGTCTCCTTATACATTTCGCAGTAGCAGCCGACGTTTCGCAAAGAGACCGTCGATGCCTGAAAAGATTTCTTTTTTTTTTTTTTAACAGTCTGGTTGGGACACGCAAACCAAAAAATAAATTTTACGCGAAAAAAAAAAAAAAAATCAGACCAATGTTGACGGCCACAGATTTATTTGAAATTCTGCGCGCGAAATCCATGACCTCACTGGTCATTCTTCCACGCGCCTGAAATGCCGAGAGAGAAAACTACTGGAAAGAAGGTGACTGCCGACTAAATCGCATCTCGCGCCATCATATTGCCCTAAATTTGTTTTTTGACACGCGTGCCCCAACCAAACTGCTTAAAAAAAAAAAAAATTTTTTTTTTTTAATTAGTTTTTTTAAACCCTACGGCTGCGTGCCGCTCTGGAGCTTTCAGGAGTCTCGTTTTCGTGTTCTTCCTACCAATTTCGACCAGCTTTTTGTCTCGTTTCTGATCCGGGGCGTAAAAGCTACTGTCTCGTCCCGTGTGTACCGTCCGCACACACTGAGCGTGCCGCCCCTGCCTCGGTATGTGCAGCATCGCCTGTGCGTCCGGGCGTGCTGTCGTCTCGGCGGAGTCGTGCCGGAGCTGCGGGCCATGGGGCATCCTGTGGGGGCTGCCCGATCACGGACACGACACGAAGCGCCCAGGGCCGCCGCTCTTACCGCACAGGTGAGCACCCGAGCACCGTGTTCCGGGGTGGGAAGCGGGTTTCCAATCAGGTCTGAATGCTTCCGGTACGCTCGTGGAAGTGTCCTAGCACACCCTACAAGCGCCCCTGGGACGTGGTAGTACACCTTACCAGTGGTCCGTCCGGTGCGCTCGTGGGGAGTGCGTTAGCGCACTTTGCCAAGCCCGTGAGCTGTGCCTTTACACCGTATCAGCGGTTTTTGTGCGCTTGCGGGAGTGCTGCCCTAATAGCACTCTTGGGGTCTACCAGTACACACTGTTCCGGTGTGGTCATGGTGTGCCAGTACACCCTGCTGTCGAGGCAGCTCTACTGAGCTGTTACGGTGCGCCACCTGCGATGTTGATTGCGAGATCCCAGTGAATCTGAACGTTTCAACTCCTCGACTTTCGACCCCCTACGACTTCGACAAGTACACTCGCTCTCGAGCTGATAATCGTTCCCGTAAGCACTTGGGGTCATTCATATATGTATGCTCCCACTCCATAATGAGGTTTTTTGTGGAAGAAGTAACTTTTCTAGAACTCGTTTTATTCCCATGTCGAGACAGCAAGAAGTACCCTAGCATTTCTGGCCTGCGGAATGATGCCCATAATGGCACGCGTCTTCCCGTTGCGCTTATCGGTGCTTGGGAGGAATGTGTGCGTGTGACTTGTTTGGCGTCTCGGCAGCGCTTTGGATCCGGGGGGCGGGGCCTGGGCAAAGCGAGCGCTTTGTTCTCGCTGCATACCGCCGACGACGCCGCCGTGGCGGTGCACGGCCGGTGCGGTACGGGCCTCCACCCACGAGTCACGACTTTGAAATGCCATGCTGCAGACGCCGTCTGACCGGACCGAGCGGCCACGCGCTCCTCTGGTTGCACCTGCGCCCCTCTCCGCGGCCTGGTGGCGGCCATAGCATATCTAAGCGGGGGAGAGGTAGGGAGGGAGGGCGTGGCAGCAATAGAAAGAAAATGTTGGAAAAAAAGTGACTTTCCCGTCACGTCTTTAACCGTAAAAAAGAAACTAAAAAAACGGTCTTGTATTAATCTGTAACGCATGGACACAGTGCTGGCTTACTATCGTTTCAGACTGCACTGCTTGGCGTGAAAGCAGACGAGGACGGACACCCCGCATCCTTCCCTTCGCACACATGCTAACCACGTTAATTTGTTCAACGGTGACTGAGACTGATTGTTCACTCGAAGTTGCCTGAACATAAAAATCAGTTCGTAAGACATTGCATTGAGTGCAAATCAATCAGGCTCGCAAACCATGTTTTTTGCCCGACATACCCCCAACTCCGCATGGTACTACCGGTGTGTCCGCGCCTGTGTGTGTGTGTGTGTGTGTGGGCGTTGTAGCTGGTGATTGGGGGGGGGGGGGGGGGGGGGGGGGGGGGGGGAGAGAGTGGGGGCCCAATTGTGTACTGCCCATCATCGGGTCGTCGAAGAACGGAACTGATTGATCATGTGCGCTTTCCGTCAGCGCGTGCGCCGGCCTCCAGTGTATCCGCTCGTGGGGAAGGCTGACCTTTCCTCCCCCTCCCCCTGCAGCCTACAGCGGCGGGTCCCCGAGCGGCGGCCAAGCCTCGGCGCCCCGGCGCCCACCAAGCCCCGGCTTGGGCGGACCCCCAAACCGCGGCACCGGCAGCAGCAGCGGCGACGTCTTGAGCGGCGCCGCCGCCATGCGGCACCCGGACGACGGCGGGGCCGTCGAGGAGTTCGTCCTCGACGACCGAGACCTGCTGCGCCTCTGCGAGGTACCCGCTGCAGCGCAGCAGGACCGCCGCGGCGGGTCCCCGGCGGCCGCACCTGCGCACGGTCTCCATCATCGACACCCTGAGCGCGCTGGCCCGGGGCGCCGCCGACCGGGACGTGCTGCCGCCCGCCGCCACGGGACCCCTGGGCGCGCGGTGCGGCGCCGCCGCCGCCGCCGTACGCGCGGCGCACGGTCCAGGCCGGGGGCGGGTCGCACTGGCGGCGGTCGCGCGGCAGGAGCGCGACTGGTCGCGACAGTGCGCCTCGGACAGCGAGGTGAAGGGCGGTGGCGACGCGTCCTCGGTGCTGTCGCTGCGCAGCCAGCCGCCCCGTAGGAGCAGTGCCCAGGAGCGGCCGGCCGCTGCCAGGGTGCCCAGAGTGCCCAACTGGATATGCGCCATCTTCAGGCTCGCCAAGAAGGGGGACCTCGAGGCTCTGGTGTGTGCCTGGGAAGCCCACTCACTCGTTCTCCGGGGAATCGGCATTTGTCAGAGTTTGGCCCCGATCGTGGCGTGCCCTTTTGAAACACTTTTGGGGGTTCTTGGACCGTCGTCCGTGCCTGCACCTGGCGTGTCTCCCTGTGTGTGTGTTTACGTGTGCTTGCTTGTTCCACCTTTTGCCATTCTGAATATGTCTTTCTGTCACTTCGCTTGCATCTTTTCTTCGAAATGACTGGGGACGACCCTGGATGATTAACGAAAGCCACAGTTTACGATGCAGACAACTTTATTCTTCTCTATGAACCAACCCATGTTTACAGACAAACCGGAGGGCCCCTAGCGAATGGCATCGGCGCAGCGCATGCGCGATGGAGTGTGGGCAGGACGCTCGCCGTCGCTCACAAACAAACCATTGAAATGCGGTGTTGTTGGCGTCGGTGTGAGTCCCTGTGCTCTTTTTCGTGTTGGAATTGTTGATTTTGCGCCTGACTACTTGAGTGGCCTCAGCGAAATTACTGAGGCTCGTTACACCGCAAAACTTTGCGTGAATAATGTGACATGCGGTGATTCATTCCGCATGGACGCTAAAGCTTAATTCGCACAATGAGATTCCGCTCGCAATTTTCAGTCGCGACGTTGCTCGGGCTGCAAAAGCGTGAACCGTAGCTGAGATGGTCACCGTCGATACTGAAAATGGCGAGCAGAATCGGACCAAGTGAATGAGGCATAACAAGTCAGCAATAGCAACTGGTAACAATGATCAACATCTCCCTGTGTGTACTGTTTACAGCGAGCCTGCTTACCCCAACCACCCTTCAAACTTAAGCCTTTTGAGACCTGCATTTACTTCTTATCGCAATTACCGGGCGAACGGTCAATCTACGGGCCGGTGTTGTCTGAAAGAGCAGACGGCAAGCAGAAGCGTTTGAAAGACTAGGCGACAGCTCGAACGATCAGGCGGCCAATAGTAGTTGATGACGCACTGAACGTAGTCCGCAGGTGGCCCGTACAACTTGATGGTTTTTTACTTTCATGTTGGAACAAAACAAATAAATCTGATGACCACAAGTATCTGTGAATTGAACCGAAAGTGCTTCCTGCCCAAGCAATCGTGGTCCGGCGGCGTCCGGTTTTTCCTTTTCACGGTACATATCCATGCTCTCGACTCTTTTGGTACAGCCTGTCGCAGGGTTTTGATGAGAAGGCCGTTTTTTTTTTTGGTTTCTTTGAAAACAACGCAGAAATGCACGTCTTGCATGGTGACTTCTGCCCACCGCCCCACACCGGAAGTGCACTCAACGCGCCGACGCCGCATCGGTTTCTACCGTCCACTCAAAGTCACTCGATTGTCACTTCAGTGTTTCGTTGTGCAAGCAACTAAAAAAGGGGTTGGCTTTCAAGGCAGAGTGTTATGTAAGGAAAGTAATGGTGACCTACAGTGGCGTAGCCAGAAAATGTCTTCGGGGTGGTGTTTCAAGGTACTGGTGCAATCACACACACAATAAAAAAAAAAAAAATTATATATATACAGGGTGTTTTTCTTTAATAAGCTTAACAGAGTTGTTTAAAAACAGCCGTGAAAGTTACACTTATGCCGCTTGTGGAGGTGAGTTATACGGCCAGGGGGACATATTATAGGGGGCGAATCATAACGATCAGTCAACTAATTAATTAAAATTTGTTAATTAACTTTTTAATTAATGAAAATAGACATATAGTTCCAATTAGAAACTTGCTCAGCGTCATCGAAAACCACTAAATCGGTAATTTTTAGAAAGACTTTGAGTGCGTGAGAAGCGTAGTAGTGCACTAAAGTTATCACTCGTGGAGCAGGTACAAAGCTAACGGTTACAATAAGGCGCCCGCGCGATTTTTCCGTCTCTTATCTAGCCCCAGCCTTGTACCTGCTCCACGAGTGGTAACTTTAGTACAATACTACGCTTCCCACGCACCGAAAGTCTTTCTGAAAATTACTGATTTAGTGGTTTTGGATGACGCTGAGCAAGTTTTCCAATTGGAACCATATGTCTATTTTGATTAATTAAAAAGTTATTTAACAAATTTTAATTAATTAGTTGGCTGATCGTTACGATTAGCCTCCTATAAAATGTTCCCCTGGCCGTATAACTCACCTCCACAAGCGGCATAAGTGTAACTTTCACGGCTTTTTTTAAAAAAATCTGTTAAGCTTTAAAAAAACACCCTGTATATATATAATATGACAAAATAAAATTTCGGGGGGTGTTCTGACACCTGAACACCCCCCCCTGGCTACATGCCTGGTGACCTAGTTCCAACTATCCACCGTGTGCGAAGTTTGTGAGCTCTGTTTATGAGGTCCGGCCACTACAAATAGCTTTTTTCGCTCTCCTTGAGCGCTTAAGTTAATCAAGCTTATTGCGTTCTGTCACCAACACTAGGAGAAAATGACGCATCGAAATCTCCGCGCCTTAGAGGACATCAGAGTGTGGTGAGTTTTTTCTACACCTGCGTGGCCCTTAGTGTTCCACTCAAAGAGCATATGAGTGCATGACACAAGGAACACTCTTCATTGGTCGATCCACTGCACTGGCGAGCAACGTGTAGCTGGCATCGCTGGCCTAAACAGCCGTCAGCAAGCGGCATGCACTGCCCCGTCGACTTGGGAGTGCTCACGGTATGGGGCGACCTTGGTGTGCAGAGCCAGAGCCTGCGAGACATGGAGCGGGAGCTGGTGTGGAATCTGTCGGATGCCCAGGGCAACAGCCTGTGGCACGTGTGCGCGGCCCGGAACCATCTGCGCTGCTTCCAGTGGCTCTGCCAGGGACACCCACAGCACGTCCTGGCTGACGAGAACCACAGCAGCCTCACGCCCGTCGGAACTGCCGTCAAGGTGGGCACGTTGGGAAGCTTGGACTTTGCAATGGACTTTTTCTAAAGTCCCCTCAAGCAACATTGGTGGTCGCCCATGTTATAGTCGCCACTTCCCGCGCATAGTGTGGTATTGAACCCAATATCAAAACTGAATGCAGCGCTCAGGCCCTATACTCGTCAAACACAAAGTAGGAGCCGAAACTTCAAAGAGCGTGCCGATTGGACGTCGGTGAAAAAAGCGCGAAGGTGTCATCCGGATAGTCTAATAGGTGCACTCCGTGAACTTCGGCCCCAACTTCGGGTTTGACGAGTTTAGAGCCCCTGGACTCCAATATGTGTCAAGTGTGCACAACTAAAATATGGTGGCTTTCAATGATTGGTGCCATAGCAACTATAATCTCTTTCACCTTATGATATATTGCAGCGGATGCTACGAGCCACAGGAGCCAATCTGTAGCTCGGAGTGTGTCATGTGGCCTTGGTTGGGTAGAGCGACATGCAGAACATGAACTCGCATGGCTCGTGCAAAGCACTGTAGTATAAGATCACTCGTTTGCATCTGTTGTGGCACATCGTATAGTGAAGTGAAGTATAGGTGGCAGATTTTTCTTTAACAGGTGTGTACCAGGCTTCACGAGTATTACAGGATTTTCAGGTGTTTTTGAACACTGTGATAGAATTCCTTCTGTGAACCTGCTCTTGTCTTCCTTAAATGCAGCATGGGAACCTGGAGATAGTCCAATGGCTCGTCAGCAAGTCCTGGGCCCTGGAACAAATTAACCCTCCAGAGGGGAACAGGACCTTGCTTCATCTAGCTGCAAAGTATGGTCAGGTAAGCTGAGAACATATAGGACATTGCTGCACTTTCTGGAGTGCAATGCCCTGACACGGGGCTCAGAAGCCTTGGTTGCAGAATGTTTCACTTTTTTTTCTTTCGAAACTATCAGTTGGTGGCAAGTTTGTGCATGCGAATTGAAGGACAAGTGATGTGGAGCAGTGTGCAGATTTCTTGATGCTACCAACCTCGCAAGGCATCACCTTTCATGTATGAGGTGTCAATGAATCGCTGCATTGCAAAGCAGTCTGTGTAATGATGCACATGTATTGTAACAAATCAACACATCTTGTGTACACAGGAGAGAGTGGTGCGTTGGCTGGCAGAGTATATGCAGAACAACAACCTGAACATCAACCGGAAGGACAATGACGGAAACACTCCGGTGCATCTGGCTGCGAAACATGGACACATCTCCGTCATCAAGGTTCGTCTCTTTGCTCCCTTGCATTCGCAAATATAGTACCAGCTTGATGGCATTTATTTTTCCGTGACATTGTGGAAAGGCCTACACTAACAAAAATGCTTGGACTGTGTCTTCGCCAACTCAAAAGATAGTGAACTGTCGAGCAAGGCTTGATGAATGTTGACGAAGGTTCACTGCTCAGGCACATAGATTCTGCTGTCGTTGCCAGACGGTATGTGAAGGTGAGGGAGGGGCCTCGTTTTGATCCTCCCGGTATTGTGCTCCGACGCAGACCCTGGTGCTGTTGGATGCGGACGTGACGGCTCAGAACGAGCAAGGCCTGCGGCCGCATGGGGTGGCCGTGCAGAGTGGCCAGGTGGCCTGTGCGGACCACCTGCTCACCACCGAGGTCTGCCTCTGTCTCTCCTCTGAGCAGGTTCTCATCGAGGGAAACTTCCAGAGGTGGGTGGTCACTCTCTCTTGTACACACCGAGGGATACGTGCGGGGAGACTCTGCTCACAGAGCTACTCTACTTTTCTTGATAAATGGAATATGTACAAGAGAACTTCATGCATAGTAAATATATGACTATACCGTAATATCCTGGACGTACGCCCACCCTCGAACTTGTGCCACCCCCATTTTATATCAAAATATCTGTGTCAAAGAAAATCCTGATATATCGCCCACCCTCCAAAAATGGCAATTCCCAAGAACTGGGGACACCTGGGCAGACCTTTCCTTTTAAAATTTTCGGATGTGTGTATGCACCAAACAAGAAAGTTGCACAAGAGCCTGCTCCTTGTGATTGACGAGGCGCCCGACATGGCCCCACGCCAAAGTATTTGCGAATGTGATCGTCGGTTTTACCGCTTCCTGCGGCATCGCTCTTTGTCTCTTCTTTCTCCCGTTTGGTCGTTTGCTGGTTGCACTTGGTTGTTTTTTCTATTTTCTTGTTGGCTCTTTTTTTTTACTCCATCCATTTTTTAATTTACATATCAGCAAAGGCTGGAGATAGGGAGCCTAACGAAGGGAGCGTAGCGGTTTAGAAATCTGCTTTCATGGAAAAAGCGTTCGCACTGTATGCCGATCCGGCAGTGCTCATTGCTTGTATGCAAGCAACGGACTTTTCGATAACAAAACATTCCTTCAAAAAGGCGGGCGTTTGTTCAGAATATTACGGTATGCATATATAGCAATTGGATAACTTTTGCTTCTTGCCAAAAAGAGCTGGAGCATTTGTTCTCTGTAAGGTTCGGCGTTAGGTCCCTTGTTATAGCTTACCCCCGTAGCTTCATTAAGGGTGGTGTAGGTGTCCATGCACCGGGGCCCATTCTTTTGAATGGTAGCAGCAGTTAGAAATTAATCAAATTTCAGGCCACATGACTGGCAGAGCAGGGAGGACAGAGCTGTATATACACCTTTCCAAAAAACGCTCCTAGGCCGCCGCCATGTTGCTGATGCTGATGCGGCTGGTGTGACTCTCACGCCCTCTATCAGCTAGAAATTTTCTGCCACTCTCTGGGACTGTGAAGACTCGCTCAGCGCGATTCTCTACCTACGTTTTTGCGGTTTTGCATTCGACGTTTTCTCGCCCTTCTTGAAAGTTTCCACTTAATTTTTTTTATGCGTGCTGCGTACCTTTTTTGCTGTTATCTTCCATTGCGAGAAATAAGGCTAGTAAGTGCCTGCCATTCAAGCTGTTCTGCTCGACCATAGGCTCGACATTCGCGGGAAACAAAGGAGGTGAAGGACGTCGGACGACCCTCGACGCGATTTTGCGAACATTGTTCTCCCCCTCCCAGAGATAATCCGCGTTGAATCTTCAGTCATCTCCAAAAATAGTTGTCCGGGTTGGGGTGGGAAACAGGTCAGTCGCGTTTGTTTCTTTGCCTTGGTGCGGTTGTGAAAAAAGGAAGCTCTCCCCAAAACGAAGTCATCTCGGATTCCGTCCGATCGTCAAGATGTGACTGTCGTCGACTGTGACTGTGTTATTCGAGATCTGTCTCAAATAAGTTCTTTTTGAATAAGGCTGCATCGTGTGGTACGTACAATATATTGTTAGAATGTTAACACTTCCTCCATTGTATGTACGTGTCCTGCCCATCGGTGAACGTACGTTATTTGTGAGCGCGAAAAATGCATGCCTTTCGGCCCTCTTCTGTTGCAATTTATTTTTGTCAGCAAAAGCGCTTTGTTGTCTCACATGCGCCAAATCCCGCGGCGCCGTCAAAACTTATCCTAAAAAAACAAATAACTAGAACTATACATTCCAGTCGCATTCGTTTTGTCGCGTGCGTACCCAACAAAAATAGTTCAGTTTTTTTTTTTGCTTTTTTTTTCAAATGTGGCACAATGCTTTTTTAATGTCCTCGGGAAAATACATGCACCATGAAACACAAAATATAGCGGCAAAAGACGAGAATTTAGCCGCCAGCACCGTTTGAAACTGCGCCTACGCAGGCTGCGCCCATTGAAATCACAGTCCACTCGGTTAGGGTTAGGAGGGACGCCGGTGAGAGTCTAGCCTCAAACTCAGTGACTGGGCTCGAAAGCGGTTTGTTGCCCCTGGGGTCGAGTGTTTTTTGGAAAGGTGTATAGATAGAGTTGGGCCATTCATTAAGAAGTATGGGAGGCAAATAAGGAGGGTGCCATTGGCCGAAAGCAGGCTGGGTGTGTTCCAGGGCATCTTCACAAATTCAAATGTGGCCAACCAGAAGCCGGAAATAATACCCTGCCGGTGGTCATGAGAAACAAAATTAATAAGTGCGTTGGAATAACTCTTGGTGACTGAAAATGTGGTGCACGTGATATTTTAATCACGGTCACTTGAAATCAAGGTGGAAGAGCGCGACTAGCAAAACAATCAACATAATCCGTACGCTAGGCACCGAGGGCCGGGAATCTGCCGTCCAAGTGGTCACATTTTGTCTCAGCGAAACAGAGTTCAAGCAGCACATTCGTTTCTTACATCTTTTTGCATGATCATAATCAAAACATCACTTTCAACTACGAAAAGTTACTACATTTAAACCTTGCGCTCTTATTAAAACTTTCTTGCTGTCACCGCTAGAGGATTCTTTTCGACTTCTGGTTGGCCAAGAGAGCATCCCAAGCCCTCCATCCGCGTCTGGTGCACGCCCTGGCTCTGCCCGCTCCTCCTATTGACCCAACTCCTCTATACACGGCTTTGGCGTTGGAGTATATACAGCGTGGGCGAAATGAATTGAACACACTTTAAACTGACTGCATAATTCAGTTTCTTAACTTATGGCACTGGGATTTTCTACAGAGGTACCTGAAGTTGGTGGAAGCTTTCGATTAAATTGTGGAAAGATTGACTCACCTGAGTAAATCAAGAAAAATCAAAAGCTATATGTTTTTCCTATCGTTTGCATGTATGCTAAAATAAAATAGTGTGTTACCATGGCGCTTATCTGGGCCAAATGAAGTGAAAAATAGGTAAGCCAATTCTATTTTCTTTCCATTTCACAAATTTTTTTTAATAATTGTAAACTCCAGAATTGCCCACGACGATTTTCCGGCGATTTTAAGGTAAAAGGCTTAGCAATAAATGTTCCATAGATGAAACCAGTTTTTTTTTTTTTTTGCTTTCTTTTGACTCCGGAGGTTTCATGTACCTATTCATACTGTCAAATAATGAATGGACCAGCTTCAAGCAGCTGTATAGTAAATCCCAGCACAGTAAGTTACGAAACTGATTTAGGCGGTCAGTTCAAAGTGCATTCAATCTATTTTGCCCACGCTGTACTATACTCAGGGACAACTTTTCGTGGCTTTTCCGAGAAACTAGCGCATATGCACAGCCTTTTTTAATTGGTGCACACATCTTCCCGTGCCTGCGATTGCTTTGCCACAAAAATTATCCCCGAGTTTAGATACTTTGAGCTATTAGCAACTCTGGCTAGTCTTCATAGCTGGAGATAACTGTGCTTTGAGAAAACAGGCCTAGGTGGTTTATTCATGTGCAGTATATATTTCTTTTTACTTCATATTTGTTGAATGAATTGCTTGACATCTGCGATCACCTACAATAGTCGCATAGATCGTACTATGCAACAGGTTCCAGCTTTGTGAGATCTGGGAGGTTAATGGGTTTTTACAATACCTTTTTCAGCTTGCAAGTTGAAAATGCTGAGATGAAGAATGGCTTCAGAGAGGTAAGTCGAGCCCTGTCATTTTTACCTGCATGCCCTTCTGAAAAGCTCGTGGTGTGAAACTAGGGTACCCCTTTGTTGACGAAAGGGAGGGCTATGGTGCGACATCCCACAAGTCGATCTTATTGTAAGATTCTGCTTTCTTTTCAATGACCCTCCAGCTGCTGGTGCTTACCAAGAGGCTGTTGAGGAGACAGGAGGAGATGCTACATTATGTGCAAGTGGTCTGTTCGGGAAACATGAACTCGGACAAGGCGGAGTCGGACAGTGCAGACTCACTTCCGTGGAACTCCCCCTCAGAGTAAGTGGTCGGAGCATGTGCTAACTTTCTTTGCATTTAAGTTAAGTTTCATACTTTTTTTGGAGTATTTATAGGCCTAAAATATCTTCGGTGGAAGTGGCGTTAATTCATGTTGTGTGCAGATTTGACCTGGCCTGACTTTTTGATCAACTGACATAAAAGGAAATTTGCTCATGAAAGATCTGAGACAGTATGAGAAGACCTTGCTGTAATGTCTAATATTTTATGGCTTTTTGCGTGTTTTGTGCAGTATACATAAGAAACTTGTTTAATAATAATAATGTCTCTCCATGATTGCCAATGGTAGATCAATATTATTTGTTCAGAACTGGCATTGTTCTTTCGCGCAGTGCTCACGAATCATATTTTCATGCATATCACCCACCCCTGCATATAACCCGGACTTCCAACTTACTACTGAAAAAACAAACAACAACCTCACATTTTACTTGCATTATTCACGCAAATCAATGTCCAGATATTGCTAGAAACCATACCTTTATTTTGAGTATGCTCGTTGCCACATTCACTTTTGGCAAGCTACCTATATCACCCGAGGCACCTTCATTGCCGTAGATAGCGTCGTCGTCCGCGACGTCAAGGTGATTGCTAATGCGGCACTTTTTGAAACTGTTCCGCACCATCTTGTCTAGAAATGTCGCGGTAGCGCCGAATCTCTGTCGACACGACATGGCTGCAACCTCTTCTCTTCTTGACATACTTTGCAAGTCCTTTCTCGGGACCTCAAAACAATCTTCAGTCGCGGCTTGCAGTTTGCAGGTTTTCCATCCTCCTCCCTTGCGGTGGTGGTAGTTCCGGCCTGCTGCTTGGTTTCCAATCTCTTCGGCAACAGACGTGACGGTGGCGCAGAGCGGCAATCGACGTCTCTTAGCCCGCAAAAACAAAACAGAGATGGCTACTCAAGAAAAGAAGTGAGAAGGAGAAGGTGGGGAGCAAAAGGCCCCTAGGAGAGACAGAAAAAGACGTGGTGGGGAATCTGTCACGACGACTTCGCACTCATTGCCGTGAAGCCGTACTGCCCGCCGAAATTCGCCTATAACTCGCGCCCCTTGCTTTGCTTTTTTTAAATTTTAATGTGGGTTATACTTGGGAAAATGCAGTATGTATCCCCACTTGGCTATTGGTATGTGGACGAAGAGATTTCTGCACTGCAACTTGGGAGACAGATATTTCAGCAACTGTTGTCAGTCAATCTGCTATCAGAACTGGTTTGTTCAATGTAGTAATGACAAACAAATATTTGCATGTTTGGTTTCTGCAGGAACTCTGAAGGCAAACAGACACAAGCCAAGTTGCAGGCTCTGCTGGAAAAGACCCAACTGAAGTTGCTTCCCGAGGAAGAGAGTCGATTGCTACAACTGGAAGAGAAGTGGCGCCGCCTGCGAGTGAACAAGGGCGCCGTGGAAACACGTTCACCGCTTGAACTGATACGGCAAGTGCCTCCTCACACTGCATGTGATTGTCCTCCCATATTCAGGCGCACACGCTACTGGTGAACTCTACCAGTTGCATTGGAAGGTGTTGTTTACATCTTTTCTAGAACATTGACTGGAATTGTCTGGTTGATTAAGCTTATCATTAACTATTATTTGTCAATTTGGGGTGGTACCCTGAAATGACAACTTGCTGTTGCTGTCTTAGAGCAATTAATAAATGCTTTTTTAGAGAAATTCAGTTTGCGCTAGTTACTCTCAACCTATAGTTCTCCAGAGTTAGCGGGGCATTCTAGATGTCCTTTCGAATACTTCTAATTTGCTTATCTTTTTTTGCGCGAAACATATTTTAATGGGGAGATGCAAAGGAGCCCACAGGAATGATCAGGCCCAGCCTCTATTCCTTGTTTGCTTTCGTACGAGCATTTCCGGTCATTGCCAAGAAGATGGCTAGCGCCACTTCTGGCAAAGATGTCATTTATTGATGTGATATACAAGTTCCAATGTTCCAGTTGTGCTATGCTTATAGCACTCCACTACATGTGTGAACAGGCCTTTATGCCTTTCGCATTCCAAAACGTAAACAGTCTTAAGTGTCTTCGTCTAATTTTTTTTCTTCTCTCGTCCTCGTGCTCTGAGCCCCGGAGAATAAGAAACAAACAAAACAATCTTCCAATTGTTGACGTTCCGCGCACTGTTGGCTGTGTCCACACCAGTGTTGCGGAATGGGCACCCCCATTCCATTCGAATTCCATTCCGGGGAATTAGAGTTTTCGATAATTCCATTCCTTTCAACTCCTAGGAATGGGGACACTGAGCCCATTCCCACTCCTGGAATGGCTGAGTCGCTCCATTCCATTCCTCCAATTCCTAAACGTTAAAAGTGTCACTTGACAGCTGCATTATGTTGCTGGGTTGGGCAGAAATACTCAGAAATGTATTTGGAAATACAAATACTGGGATAGATGAAAATAGTTGCTAAGATACTGATACTCAAGTCTCAAATATATCTATAAAAATGTATCGTGATACCTATCGGAAATAAGTTTTAAAAAGAGGCAAAAAGTCTTTGGAAATACAAATACAAGAATATATTTTAGGGAAGGCAGAAATATAAATACTGATAATACAATACATTTTTCAAATTTCTTTGAGACTCCAACTGAGGTGAGGCTTAAAGTTGAAAGTGGAAGTTTCTTTTTTTTTTTTTTGTCTTGAAATTACTTTTTCGCAGGCTTGGCATTTCGCCTTGAAGGTAGTGGTTCCGGACGAAGAGTCCTAAATGGGTTTATAAAACGTTCCACCAAGGATTGACCGCGGTCCCTTCCCTGGCATCCTGTCTGACTGACCAGTGGTGCGAAAAGACTTCGACCTCTAAAATAAATTCCATCAAAACATCACCACCTCCCCGTCCAATAAGGGCGCCCCTGTCAGCACTGACCACATGACGTCACGGTGGGATGAACTAGTATTCTTGAATCTGTAGGTGTTGCCTTGAACATGGAACTTTACCCACGCTGCTGTATGAAAGGACAATACATACTTTCGTTGTAGCTGACCTCCGTGAAGACCATGCAGGCAGTTGCATTTGGAATTTTCGAGAAAAGTGGACCACCTGAAGCATCCTGAAGCACATGTATTATCTTCTGTTACGGTTCAAAAATCGATATGGTGGCATCCCTGTTGTGACGGTCCTTTCTGCCGACTCTCCGCCTCCAACGCATGAATGGCATTCTTCAAGTTTCGCCTAGCATCATTCAAACAGAGACCTCGTGGATTGTGACCTGATATTGCCGGCACAGGTGCGAGCTCTTCGAGAAACAGCGCGCTCGGGACGAGTCGAAAGTGCACGAAGTCTGGGTCCGCTCAGCGAGGCCACGTCTGGCCTCCTTCCTCGGTATCGGATCACCAGAGCAGCAGGTCACGTTCATGTCGGCTGATGACGTACCAGCCGTGCAATATTACAGGCGCAGACACATTCGGATATGTGTTGAACTTCACTGGTGAAAGGTGCCACCGCCGTCTCCCCCTCCTCCCCTCCCCCCTCTGTTCTTTGCTTTGACACTTGTTTTTTGTATTGCATTTTTTTTCTTTTGCGCATAAGTCTGGTAGGGCCTTACGCGGGTTCGCAGTTTCTTGCTCATTTTATTTCTGAACAACCGACTCCCTGACTGGATCGGTATAGCTGAACGTAAAAAATAAATAAATAAATAAATAAAATATAAAAAACCTGGCCCATTCCATTCCCATTCCATTCCGGGCAAAAGGCATCTAATTCCATTCCCATTCCATTCCCCTCACCGTTGCCGCGCATTCCATTCCCATTCCATTCCGGGGTCGCGAAAATGCGGAATGATTCCGGAATCATTCCGACTCCGGAGTGGCAACTCCGCAACACTGGTCCACACAGCGGCATTGACTGCGCTGCTCTGCATGCAGCCTGCTAGATTAAGCGGATTTTGGTGACCGTGTGGAGCTGCTAAGACATCGTTGGCCGGTTTCATAAACTTTTAGGCGGAATTGCGTCGTTTTATTTTACTTGTAGGCTTTTCAGAGGATGCGACATAGGATTGCATTCTTTTCTTAAAGGCCGGAGTACACTTCGCGCTTTCCACTTTTTCCCGCCTCCTCCTTTCTTATATCCTCTCTACGTTTTACCTTGCCCCCAGCTTGGCTCCCCTAACAGCTTGGGAGAGGAGAGTGCTGAAAGGATTATCTTCCCTGCAGAAAACCGAGGTTGTATGCCGGCCTTTAAGACAGAAATTTGATTGGAGTGTCCCTTTAAAAGTCATATTGGCTATGAATGGAACCTCGGGAGCATCGGGCCGAGTTGCGTTGAGAAGGCCGTTGCATCACTTGCAGGTCCCACTTTGCCCAAGCCCTGGCGAAGTGCAGCGGCCCCCACGTCCAACCGGAAGCCAGGCCCGCCTCCTCGTCCTCCCTGTCGGACTACAGTGGGGAGGAGAGTGCAGAGGAGGAGCCCCAGCGGCCACCTGCCAGCGCCCGGCGTATCCACGAGCAGGTTCCAGCTCCCTGGGAGCAGGAAGTGCGCTCCTGGGACAAGGTCCAGGTGTTCCTCGATGGCCTGCTGCGCAACAGCGACATCCAGCGCAGTAACAACAACCCAACGCCCACGAGGAAGGCCAACAACTCGACCAACACACTCGTCATCCGCCACGGCACAAGCAGTCGCAAGTGTCGAGTCAAGGAGGCGCAGAGCCGAAAAGTGGAAGCGCCCAAGGACAGGTCTCAGGAAAACGTGAGCCTGAAGGTGCTTTTCGAAAACAACCCGGAACTGCGGCAGGAAGGTCAGACTTGTTCGGTGCTTGAGGTCTTGGAGCCCTCGAGCAGCGATGCAGAAGAAGACCTCAACGTGGGACTGCGGCGCGGAAGCGGGGACAGCTCGTCGAGCTCCTTCCGCTCTAACGAGAATGCGGTGCTTCACGTGGCGGAGCAGCGGTGTCCCAAGAAACCCGTAGCTGCGAGCAATGGCGAGCGCAAGGGCAAGGGCGCCATCCTTCTGACCAACATCGCAGAGCTGCCCGATTGCTCAAGCAGGTACAAGGTCAGCTTCAAGATCCAGCAGTCGCAGGAATGCCCTCACCTCGGCTCGGTAGAGACGCAGCCCAAGGATGAAGCAGACGCGGCAAATGACAAGAAGGGCAGAAACGCAGAGCGGCAGATGAGTTTCGCAGAGCCCGACTTGATTCGGGGGACCAACGTGGCAGAACGTTGCGCCCCGGAGCGCAGCACCGCGGAGGCCTCTTCGGCGGGCGAGTGCCCCTCGGAGCTGTCCTTCGGAGACTCGGCCAGCCAGGACGTCACGGGGACGGAGGACGTGGAGGAGCAGCAGCATGCGGCGCAGGGTCTCTCATCCCCAGAGTGCTCCGTGCCAGCAGGCGAAACCTCTTCCGGGGCGGGAAGTGCCAAAAAGCGCAGCGGATTTCTGCTCAAGTTCTCGCTAAGGGGCCGCTGGCCGTCCAAACAGAAGCAGCAGCGGAAGAGCGAGGAGATCAGCGCGGAGGAGTTTCGAGAAACATACACGCGGAGTGCGGGGGCGGAGCCCTTCAGCCGGGACCCCCTTCCGGAGCAAAGCACCACGGCCAAAGCGAGCGAGCTGTTTGCGCTCTCACCGCCCCCAATCCCGACGCTTCCAAGGCGGGGTCCTCCCCCTGTGCCCCCGTGCGAGGAGGAGGTGCCGCCCGAGTCCCCCGAGCCCTCCCTGGGGAGCAAGTGCTCCCCGACCGAGGACGAGGCCCTACTCTACCTGCATGGGGGGTCGCCAGAGCCCAGCATCTTGAGGCCAGATTCCATCGTCTCTAAGACCACCGGAGGTAGGTTCATGTGAAACTTCGGCCCCGGCACATCCGATGAATTCTCGCGGGTAGTTTCCCGCAGATTTAGGAGCATGCCACTTTAGACACTTCCAGTGAATGCTAGCTGGCTTTTGATAAAGTGCAGCAGTATTATATATGAGCGTGGTGTTGCTCTGGATGTCCTCCTCTTGTCTTACATCTTTCAAACTCTGTCGGCCCACATTCTTTGTGTCCTTGAATTCAACTTGTGCTGGTTCCACTCTTGTTCTTCCTCATCTCCCCTGGTCTTTCATCCATATATTCTTTTTATCATTCTCACCTTTTATTTCTCCTCGCACACGTCCCTCCAAAGTGTCTGCCCAGTTTTTCTCTTTTTAATTTTTGCTTAGGTAACCCTCGGTTCGCCACTTGTCAATGTGCGGCCTGTTTTGCGTGCCGGCACAACAGTGGGTTTTTGCAGTTTAAAGCCAAGACCACCACAAAGTCCAGGTTGCAACAACCCGCAGGAATGCAAACCCATAGCTACACATTTAACCTCCACTCTTTCTTCCGAGAGAGGTAGAGGAAAAGAACAGTTTTGTCGCACATATATATATTGGGGGTTCCCACTCTTCAATCTCAAGAAATGCATACCTTGATTGACAGCCGAGAAATCCTTCTCTAGCGTTGATTCAATAAAGCAGCACAGAATCCTGCAGACTTTGTAAACAGTAAAGCACATACCGTATTTACTCGAGTACGGTAATAGCCGCACTATTTTTGAACAAGGCCCTTGCTTCTACTTTCCCACAAAACACATATACAGCCAATCATCGCATTGCGCATTAATAACATAGCGAATAACCAGATTGAGAACATGATTCTTCATACAAATGCAATCTTCAAAGATGGTATCTTTGCACAAAAACGTTATCTCTGTCCTGTAAACCACTGGAATCATGCTGTTGATCAATGTGATTGGCAATCTGCGTGTTCCTTGGAAAAGCGAACCCTCAAATTTTCTTCATAAACAGCGCGGCTATTACTCGAGTAAACACGGTGCTAACAAGTTTTTGGCACCCATACTAGAAAATACCGAGCAAGCACGTGCCCACCCATAATTGGAAGAGAACCATGGAAAACTAGGAGACGGGTGCTTGCTAGGCCTAAGAGCAAAAATGCAGAAGGAGCACACGGTCAAGTAGGCCCTTGCTTGGTCTGACCACCGAATTCAGAATGGCCGTCGTTTGCTGAGCCAATAGAGTGCTTCAACGTGTAAAAACAGAATGTTTGCATTATTTTCGACAAAGAAAAGTGCCCTAAAGTGTCATTGCAGTTTTTGCATCGGCAGCACACAGCAGAAAGTGACGCGACCACTTCCACGATTTCCCTGTCCAAAAATGAACCACAGACCACAGCATGTTCGTTGACATCAGTATATCCGGTGGACGAAACATCTTTGAGGGATTAATGCCAGCTTTGTTTACCGTGCACTGCTTGCGGTTACACTGTTGATCACCTCCACAATTTCCCATTTACAGCCTTAACTCGCGCGCGCGAGCTGCCATGCTTGATTTGGCTTGGCTTGACCTGGCCACTCGGTGGTACAATTGACTCGGCTGCTGGGCAGAAAAAAAAATCAATATTGATGGCGGATGTGGGGGATGCATTTTCTAGGCGAGTATGCCGTCAATAGTTAAATGAGAAAATTTTAAAAGTGGTTCCTTACACACTGTCTAGTCTTCGTCACTAAAGCCTTTGAATGACTCTTCTGAGTGAACAAAGAGCAACCTGTCTATCACGATCAATTTCTACCTCTTTTGACCCTCGTCCCCTTTAACCTGCTTCGCCACTTCACCCATGCCATGCCGGTGCTAGGTTCGGTCGCGGAGATAATGGCTGCTTCTGGAGACTGGGTGTTTGATGTGTCTTTCGTGTATTTTTTAATTTGCTTAAGAGTGGGCGTTTGATATGTCCTTTGATGCTTTTTTAGATGTTTCAAAAGTAGGGGGTGGGCACTTATTGTTACATGAGCATGCTCAATATATTACTGTAGTTACGTATCGATGGCTGGCTCAGATTTTATAAAATAGTGCTTAAACTGAAGGAACATTTTACGTAAAGGCAGGAACGATCGAGGAACTTCGGCAACTTTAGGAACCCTTGAGGGTACACCCTGAGGAACTTCTGGCTTCCGAGGAACCCAGTTGGAGGAGTGGTGGTAGAGACCAGCTCCCTGTTTATAAACAAGAGCATTTGCTTTGAGGAGCTGTGGGAACTGTGCACATGCAGGAACTTGTTTCTAGAAGAGTGAAACACCTTGGCGTGACGTCGGAAACACTAGTTGGAGTTTTATGCGAACATCAACGACTCTCTGTTCCCTCGTGCAGGCTCCCTGTCCCGCCCGGCGTCCTCGGCGTCCCAGACGGAGGACGGGAGGCGGGGTGCCAGGGAAGGGGCGGGCCGGGGGAATGTGGCCGTGGTGGGCTTCTCCCTGCCCAAGACGCTATCCTCCACTGAGGTGTTGCTGCTGCACACACCGGAGTCCTCCGTGGCGGGGCGGCAGTCGCCTGCCCCCAGCGAGGTCTCCAAGACGGAGAGCGCCCTGTCACCGCCCAGCGACGTGTCCAAGACGGAGAGTGCGAGGCAGGCACCACCCCTGGGAAAAATCGAGGAGATTGTGGCGGCCGCGGGGGCCGCCGCTGCTGCATCAAGCGCGGAGAAGAGGGTGGACCCGTCGGCCGCTGCCCTCAGGGCCCGGCCTTCCGCGGGTGTGGAGGCCCCCAAGCAAGAGGGCCATCCCTGCATGACCCCCGTGGCCATTCTGCAGCAGGACGTCCCGCCGCATCAGGCAAAGGTAGGCTTTGCAGGAATCCTCTTCTTTGTCTGCGGGGCTGTCTGCGGGGAATGACAAAAAGGAAGGCAAATTTCGGGGACTTTACAAGTCTAAACGAATGAAGCGCATCTTCATTCTTGAATGAAGGACTGTGGAATAAGTTTGGCGGCCCGTGGAGTTTGTGACAGAAAACCGAGATCTCGGTCTCCTCTGCAATAAGCCTTCTTCGGATTGCGGGAATCTCGGCCAGGATTAGAACCCGCCAACCGGGGACTAGTAGGCTGGCGTCTTTGCCTCGGAGGCGCCGAGGCGGCTGTGGGGAAAGCGCTTGGAAATAAATAGACGGTAAGTGAGAGGCGGCAGACATATGGAGGGAGAGGAACCTTCTAAAAGTTTTGTACTTAAAAGTTATTATTATTATTTTTTTTTTAAATAAAAATAAGTTGTTTCAACATTTATGCTGAGGACTTGAATAGGAAAGGTGGAGGTTTTGTAACAGTTATGACAGAAGCATGGTGCAGAGAAGCAAGTAGGTGAAAGAAAAGAGGAGCGAAGTAAAAGGAACCGTGTGGTTGCGGCCCGAGACATGGTGGCGGTCATGTTGGGTTGCACTGTTTGGACGTAACAACCGGAAAAGCAGACACAATAAATAAGAATTCAATGCAGATATCCCTGTGTGAAGCAGTGAAAATATCAAATTGATGGAGGACATATAGTTTTACTGTACACTTGATATCTCTTACAAGTGTACCAGTGTTTTGTGATGTGTGGGTCTGTAGATGCTCACAATGGCTAGACCGCATCTCAGTAACCTTTTGCTTTTATTTTTTAAAGTTTCAATCGCTGAGATGTAGTAATATAGGGGTTACTGATATTGTTTTTCTTCAATTCGGTCTGGTTTCGATTGATCTTTGGTATACAACTTGGTTGCGTTAAAAGCTTCTCACCATTCAAATATAGGTTTAGTATTATCAAATTATCATAATTAGCTATGGATTTGGTGACACCCCATTTATTTTGGTTTGGTTTCAACTGAGAGTCAAGAAGCTTTTCACATCATCTTATCACTATTGAGTATAATAACAATTAGTGGTTGCTAATTGTGAGCACGTGGCACTTAAACCATCGGACTTTAGAGACGAGGTCGCCATGCAACAATGGGACAAGCTCCGTGTGGGCATATGTAGGGTTCTGCGTTTTCCAGGTTTATTTTGAGGGAAAGTGGAGGGTGCTTTTTGGAGTTAATTTTAGGGAGGCCACCTATGGTAACTTTTTTATATGGGTTCAATATACCATAAAATACCACAGAAGCGCTTACTTAGTTGAAGCACTCACAATTAACATTTCCCCAATTTGAGAATTTTGCAAATTATATATTAAGCACCCGATTTGATCGGACAAGCACCCATGTGTGCATTAACCCAAGTTTCAGTGGAAGCGGGGTGGTCGCTTCCCCGGTATTTTACATTATACTATTATTTTATGAAGCTTGCAAAACAAAAGTTGAAATAAAAAAGAATATCAGCGCAAAACATTTCCGAGCTTCCCTGAAAAATATGAAGACCGGTCGAGTTTGTGCAACCAGCAGCCTTGAAATTCTGAACTTTTCATATAAATTGGAAACCGTAAAATTTTTACCAGCGAGTGTTATTGGATTTTATTGGATTTATCCGAAAATGGAGAACCCACATTGGCGATATTTATCTGGGACCATTTTTTCCTAGTTTGTACTTGAACCATTTGTTCTGCGACCATTTGTTCCGGGACCATTTGTTCCGTTTGCCGTTGTAGGGTCTTTTTAGTGAGGCTCCTTTGTTCCCCTCTTTCCAGGCCAAAAAGATGACATTGGCTGCTAGGAAAAACAAGAAAAGTTCAAAGCCCTGGTGAGTGATTAGAAATGCTCTTGTTGGGAACATGTTAGAGTCTGCACAAGCAAATGAAATGGACAGGCAAATTTTTCGCTTATCCTTTTGCGGTCATGCGAGTTTTCCACTTGTACCTAGGCACCTCGTCATAATTAATTTAAGCGAAAAAAGATCAAATCAATGACTGCCTTTAAACTCAACTCTTTAATATACTATCAATATGTTCATTTTGAAAAAACTCTGCATTGTCCTGAATGTTTTCACTGAATTATTGAATTATACTAGCGGTATGTGCACGGTGTACGATACTTTTCAAACCAAATGCCGAGGTGCAAGCCAGGGTGTCGAGGGCAGGTTTTACTATAGAAAACATTTTCATGTCTTTGCCTTTTGACTTTCCTGTCACTGCAGACTGCAGTCTCCAGACTGCATAAAACGCGGACGGAGTAAAGCTTCCATCTTGAACACCCAAAAACGTGCGCAAAATGCCCGTCCGCACATCTAGCAAATAGAAAAAGGGATCGCACCTGTTAACGGCACTTGTTGGAGGGACAAGAGATGGTGCAAGTTGAAATTGTCGGGAAGCGCCCGACGCTTGACCGCAAAGGAGAAACGGGCCTGTCGGGTGAGCCCCGACACTTGTCCAGAATAGGAATATTTATTTGTTGGAAAAGTGACTAACAATAAAACCCAGGATGAATTGGAAACACCAGTAAAAAAAGTGGCCGCATCTCCACGTGGTGAATGATGTTGATTGGGGCGAAGCTCTGGTGGTGCTAATGATACTGATTTTATGGTTGATAGGTAGTGCTGATGGTGCAGATTTTTTTTTATTGCTCATAGGTAGTGCTGAGTTCCGGGTTGCGTTTCGGCTTCATTATTACTGCTTTATGGTCGGTGAAATGCAGAGCCAGTGGTTCTTCTAGCGGATCAGCTTGTATCCGCTAGAAGCCGTGGGAACGCATCTCCACCGACGGTCCATGTCAGAAAAAGAATATGTGGTATGGATCGTGGTTATACGCAGTTGAGCATTTGACTGCAGTGCTCTCTCGTCTATAAACGTTGAGCCAATGCGCGCAAAGTTTAACGCAATTATATACGCATTTGACCACAGCGCCCTCTCCTGTATAGACGTTGAGCAGCTACATTAAACATTGGAGTGTAGCGTAGTGGTTAAGACGTCTGCCTCGTAAGCAAGCGGTCTTGTGTTCAAACCCCCTTGTGGGCGTACATTTTTTTTTTTCAAAGTGAATCGATCTTGGAGGCAGTGCAATCGATGTGAGCACGGATGCCAGACAAGGCTAGACCCTGAGGAGCTTCACCTCTAAAATATACATAAGAGCCTTATCGTAACACAGGATAGCCTGTAGACTACTAGAGCCTACAGGCTTGCTGCTAAGTTTCGATATCTGATATACCGAGCACCTTACAGTAGACTCTCATTAATTCAAACTCCTAGAAGCCACACATTTTGTTTCATTGATCAGAAATTTATCTAAATATGATGCAAGATAAAATTATGATTTGCCATATGAATGGCTACCCATACAAAGCAGATATTTGATGATTTCCTTTACATAGGCCTACTGAATATATAAGTGGGTATGCTACACAAGAAACATTTGTGAAATGTATGACATAAGTTTGGTTATTCCTCCAAAATGTTGTTTATCGGGGACTGTTTAGACAGCAGATGACAACTCAAAACAAAATGAAGGCAGTTCATCAGGCCAAGTTGTCTGAAGTGGATTATTAAGCAGGGGACACATGGGCGGTGAAAGCGGGCACCACGCAGCAGTTTTTATAGCAACTTGTGCGGGAGCTGCGATGCGGACCTATGCCGTGCCGCCACGTCACAGCATCCGCTCAAGTTGCTATGTAAATGTTTGCGTGGAGCCCGTTTTCATAGCTCATGTGTGCTCGCTTGAGCCCCATTTAGTGTGCTTCTTACCAAGCACCGGTGCGCAGCTTGCTTCTGCGGGTGTTGCCTCTCTGCAGTGCACCGGTGCTCGGAAAGAAGCGCACTCAATGGGGCCACGAGTACAAAAAGTGTGAATTGCACAAAAACGCCGTTGGTATCGAGCGGCTTATAAATACATTTAAAACATAGCGAAAAAAACAAAATTTAAAAATTTGTTTGAAGTAACCAGAAGTATGAAATATCCCAGTTTCAATTATTATGAGCCTACTGTATGTGGGTCATACAAAAGCAAAGTCATAAGCAAATTCATTGGAATGTCTCTTAAAACAGTCACAATTTGGATCTGCCCTGTAGCCAATAATTAAAAGCATCGCCTTACAAAAGTTTTCTCCAGGCACACGTTTGCCGATTTTTTTGGTTTGTACCTCGAGCCAGGTGACGGAAATTCTGAGGCACGACCCGTCCTTCCTTCCAGGTACGAGGTTTCGGACGAGGAGGACATGCTGTCTCCCGACAAGTACCAGACAGTCAGGGCTCGCAGCAGCTCCGAAGACGAGACAGACCTGGCTGTTGTGGCGTGACAGTGTCAGCATGTGACACATTTATGAACAGTCAGACCTTCCCTTGTGCCACGGGAGTCGGGCGTCTGGCAGCAGTCATTTGAACCGAACGAGCCAACGTGCAGTGCAACACAGCTGCCGCCTCGGTGTGCGGACTTGGGACGGGTCGTGTTTGGGGGATAACTCTCCCGCCGGATCCCATGGCTTGCGTAAGACGACGCGCATGGCAGACAAATCTTTTACCGTGAATGGGTAGCTGAGCACAGCAGGTTTTGGCAAGGGAGCTCGCGGTTTCACTGGTCGAATTTTTTGTCATGTAACATATCACCCCGTGCCGTTTTGGGGCATGTTCAAGGTTCCTTCTCTGTAGCTGTCCCTCAGGGGTGCGAAAGCTGGAAAGGGGAGGCGGCTCTTTCGGGTAACCTTGCAGTTTCTCCGCCTCCTCTAAAGAAGGAAAACACCCATCGTCACTCTCATCCTGCGTGCTCTCAGGCATTTACTCCGGGAGCAGGCTCGGCTCGGCCTCGCTTCCTTCCTCGACCACCACATCGTCTGGCCGAGGCCCGTCCGAAGGGCCGTCTCGACTGAGGCGTTCCCACTAAGAAGACAAACATGTTTCCGAACTCAGGGCTGTTTTAACGGATATTTGTTTATACATTTCGTTGTTTGTTGCGTTGTACTAGGTGTGACATTGTAAAGCTTTACGCCAGATTGTGTGGGCGCACCTCACATATATTTAAATGGGAGCAAAGCGTGTGTGAGTCTGCATCTCTTTGAGATGACTTATCCTTTCTTTTTATGTGTGTGCGTGTGTGTGTGTATGTGTGTGCGTGCATGCACGCACACGTTGTGCCTCCCAGGCAGAATGGAGAACACCGGATCATGTGATATGTGCACAACGGTCATTCCTCACCTGTTGTTTTTTCTCACCAAAAGATCTTTTGAGGACCAACCTGATAAAAAGTTCTTGCTTATTAGTTTCTAACATCAACAGTGTTGACGCTTCATATCGAAAGACGGGTATTACTGCATAAAAATTAAATTAGTAGTGCTTTTTTTTTTGTCATGTGGTTGTAATGGCACATTTCATATTTTTATTGTACCTGTTTTGAGGAACATCTTTTTTTGTGCCAAGTCTGTAAATGTTTTCTGACTGTATCATAATCTTTTTACAAAGTGTACCATACTGTAATACTATTCTGTACTTCTGACAAACTTCATCTCCAGTGCATTTTATGAAACTAATACATTACCAAACTTAATGGTCTTAACTGGACAATTCCACAAAAGAAGTCCATTGGGATGCTCTTTATATACAACTGTTAATTTATCCAGTGCTAATACTATTTTGTACAGACGCCCTTGTTTGCTGTATCAGATGAAATTAACTACTTCTTTTTAACTGTTATGTTGTCCAAAATAAAACCATGAGAACTAATGACACTTATTTTTGACTTTCTTGCATATGCTCCACTACTTTGGAGAATCACAATATTTGTTGCTAAGTGCGTGTCTAGACAGGTGGTACTTGAGGGTGTTGCAGACCAAGGAGTTCTCCACGCAGCATCAGGCAGGGCCAGGCCAGGACAAGAACCGTAGGACGAATCCAGGCAGGAACATCAGGAGACGGGAGGGTCTCTCATAATGAACTCTGTTTAGTATGTATTTAGAGATGTATACCATATTTACTCGCATGATGAACACACCCCCCGCAACAGGTACCAATATTTGGACTTTCTTTTTCCCTCGCATAATAAATGCACCTCCTATTTCCGACTCCGCGAGTCTCGAATTGCGTCCAACTTAGCTAGCCACCAAGCCAATTTTCTTTTGCCGCCATGCGGTCAGGCCAAGTCAACCCAAGTCAAGCCACTCTCATAATGGTTGCAAGTGCGTAGTTGCGGAAGTGATCAACCGTGAAACCGAAGATCGCGCACACTTGACGAAGCTTGAGTTAAGGAATTGCGCAGCCCCGGACATTCTTCGCCTATTGGATGCAGTGATGTCAACAAACACGTTGTCGTCTCTGGTCCAGTTTGAGACAGTGAAATCTTGAAAGTGGTTACATGTCAATTATTGACACAAATATGTGTCAATTTTTTGGTGAGAAAAGTGTGTTCATTATGCAAATAAATATGGTAGACATCGTCCGAGAGCACATTCGGCACCTCTTGTTCGCTTCTTTTATAAGGTCGCTGTTTGGTACCCCAGTGGTTGGTAGCTAATGGTTGTCAAGCTGCCAATGAACGTTGCATGTCCTGGCTCCGCCCTTGTTCACCCCTCGAGCATGCACATACGCACACACAATGTTGCAGCAGACGGATTGTGAGGGCTCCCTCCAATAGGCAGCGCCTTGGCTCAGGAAGGTGCTTTGCCGATAATCCACGGGTGGTGACAGACGATAATCTGAACTGTTCGAGGAATGGTCGACCTTCGAAGAATTCCGCAGTGGGAGCTTGCCCCGTCCATTGTGTTCGAGGTCCGATCCCTGCAATGGGAATCCTCGGTACGCCCCTCCTCCCGTGACCATGTGGCATACGCGAGCAGGCGCAGGTTACCACGGCAACAAGTTTTGAGCAGCCGAGTTGGGCGAGCGACGAGTCAACGGCTGTCCCTTTCTCATCCCTCCCCTTTGTACCGGCTCTGTCTTCCGCTGCACCAACGCTTTGTCGAACCTGGTCAAAAACTGCCACGGTTGCGGTGCAATCTAGATGGATTTGGTGACACTTCAATACGTGAAGGTAAGTTATGATGAATAACGTATTTAAATAAGTTCACCTGTCGCGATGCGTTTACGCTGCCACAGATGCGGTACGACGCCAACGACGTACGACGTTCCGGCAGATGACTGGGGATGGCAGATGGCTGCAACAACCGCTCTGCCGGGACGCGCAGTCGCGGAGACTCAACGAGAAAGCGCGTGATCTGCACCGAGGGTTCCCGAAATTTCCTGCCGTCGTGGTACTGTACGTTTTGCAACAGGTCTATTGGCGCCGTCGCTCGGAATCCTCTCCAGGTAATCCGCCGTCGTGGTCCCTGCTCACTTTCCGGTAAATAGGCGGCTTAACATCGTGCTCAGGTGTTGGGACGTCAACACGGAGCCGGGCAAAGTTGCTAGTTGTTAACAGCCCAGACGGCTGGTTGCCAACTGTGAATGGGATGGCACACCCCCACCGGCGGGCACGAAGGAGGGACGAAGGAAAAAATGTGATCTTCACCAAGGCTTATCGCAACAACACCTCCGTCGCCACTGAGCTCATCAGAAGGGCAGCAGTCCAACACCGCTTTCTTGGGAGAGGGCCCGGTGTTCGCCACCTCGTAGTGACGTAGGCGGGGGCTGGGTCCAAAATCTCGAGGGGGGAGGGGACCTCAACCCAGTTCACAAGAGGAAGGCATTGGTGAGACAAACATAGAAAGCCGCGATCCCAGCACCGACGAAAGCTTCGCTTTCCTCCCTCGATCCGCCAGACCAAACAATATTGAAGACAACGCTCCACCTAGTACCAAAAATCTCTCGCTCGACACGGAAGCTCAGGCTATCATTAAGCCCTTTAAAATAAAGCATGTTTTAGCCAGGTAAACACAAACAAATGTTATGGTAGCGTGCTTCAAAATAAAATCACAATCAAAATGATAATTTCCAAGGATTGGAAACAAACAAAACTTCACAAATTTGTACCATCTGATCATGGAGCTCGCTCACGCGTTAAAAGCTCCGACTTAGGCCATCAGTTTACCATTTAGCTTACCCCTTCCTACTTCATTTCGAATGCTTTCTACTGCAAAGTGAGAAAAACTTTCTTGATAATACAGCGCACAACAGATCAGCAAAACGCAATAAAATCGGACTCCCGTAAAAAGAAAACCTATTGATACACCTGGCTAAGTCGACTCCAAAAGAGATACGAATTAAGCCTTTGCCTTTTCTAGCGGCCTCTGCCTCGTCTCCTTTCTCTTATTGCTTTTTGGAGAGTAGTTTTCGCTCTAACCCACACCCAGTTTGCTGTCAACAATTCTCCAACTACGAAAGTCCTGACTCCTAGACTCTGCAGTCCTCTCGAAGTCACAGTTGAAAAGTTCGGACTTGATTTCTGCACCTGACTTTATCTCTTGCCGAAGCATAAAGGCCCGTTCACACTCTTGCGACCGAGTACGACTGAGAGAGACGAGATCTCTTACAACTTCTTAAAGGTTTCTAGAATGAGGGAACACACTGACATTGTGGCGCCATCTATGCGGTGACCCTAGAACTGCATTTCACAAAAGCGAAGGTTTTGCGGGATTTCCGAGGTCAAATGTGCGTAATACCCATAGAAAGGCTCGTTTATAACATTGACAAAAGTTTTTCGAGCCAAAAAAGAAAGGATATTGCGCGAGAAATAAAAAAAAATATGCCGGACCGCCGAGTTTACACTGCTTCCCAATAGATGGCGCCAGTGTGTTCTCTGGTTTAAGTAGTTTTAAGGAACCCAGGTTTAAGAGGTCGCAAGCAGTCGCAAGAGTGTGAACGGGCTTTAAGCTGTAAGCTGAGCCCGTACTCATTGAACCTGGGGTACTTGGATGAGACTGAAGATTGGACCAGCAATGCTCCTGCATTCCGTCGATTATCTTATCGTAGTGGAACCCTGACATGAGTGTAACAGCATGACTCCAGACTTCCTCCCGTTGGGCGACTCCTTGCAGCTCTTGTTCTCGTCTGGCCGACTCTGTCTCGAAATCTTTTCATCCAGCATGGATTTACAGGTGTCCCCTCCAGACCTGTGGCCCGCATTGCCGCTGTAGATCAGCAGCTCTTTGGAAGCGTTTTGGAAGCGGAAGCGTTTGTACCAGAATGGAAGACCCAGCGCCGCTACCTCGGACCTCCTTGCTTGTTCAGCTTTGGCTCCCTAGTGTCACTGCTGTGCTCCTTGCTCTTTCAGCCGCTGTCGGTTGATGCTTTCTTGGGGTGGATATCTTCGCGATTTCCATCTCCCAGCGCAGATGATGGCTTTCTCTTTCTGGAGTTGCGCCTCTTCAGCCCCTTGTGATGTTGTATATTGAAAGAGGCCAGATTGGGAAGTCACTGACTTCACGCAGCCTTTTCTTGTGTCTTTTGCATCTGGACGAATGCCCGATGTCGTTCTGGGATGGCAACGAAGTTTCCAAGTGGCTCTGGCTCGGATTTCCTTCTTCCAACCTGGTCTCATCCGCGTCCCTGCTGGATCCCTTGGTCTCGCAGCCGCTGCTGGTTGAATTCTTAGAGTGGATGTCGTCGCGCTTTTTCTTTTTGTGGTCTCGATGACAGCTGCCGTTGCCTGGATATGTCGTCATCGAGCCCACGGTGTCGCTCTCCATCTGAAGCGTTTGGGCCAGTTCCGAGCACGCTGACCTTGTGCGGCCTCCTCTCGTGTTCCCTCTGTCTGGAAGACTAGCCGGAACGAGGTGACCTTCCTCAGAGCCCCTATCATGGATCTCCCTTGTCCAACCTCAGCTCATGCACGTCTCCACTGGATCCTTTGGCCTCGCAACCACCGCCGGTGGATGAGTCCTTGGGATGGGTCCCTCCACGTTTCCCCTTCTCCGGCCTTGACGACTTCTGCTTCTAGCTCGACACATTACGCCCCCGATGATGCTGCTGATCAGCCTCATTCCTCTTCCGTTTCTTCTTTCCAAAGGGACGTCTTGAACAAGACTCTTTTTCCGAGCACCCTTGACTTGGGTCTCACTTGTCGAGCCCAGGCTTGGTCTCGGAGTCCCACAGGTGGCAACTAGGACAACCCGAATCCTGCTCTGCCTCCCTATCCGCTGACTTCTCCGCTCTGCTTTCTCCGAGTTGGATGGACTTCCGTGGCGGCGTCACAATGCTGGCCTTGCCTTTGTGCCCCAGAAAGCAGACGTCGGATGCTTGAGAGGCCTTCTATCTTTCTTTGGCGGGATCGCTATTCCCTCCAACTTTCAGTGCTTCAAGCTTGGAGTTGGCGTCGTGTGGAACGACGTCGGTCGTCCCGTCGGCAGAAAGATGCTGGTCGTCGGTCAAATCAGACTTCACACCTTCAACCTTTTCTCTCTGACGCCCCGCCTGTGCTGCTACCCAATGCGTTCTAGCTCTGCTCGAGGAAAGTACTCTTTCCTCTCTGGACACAAGGTCTTTTTCTCGCAGCTTTGAATCACCCTCGTACGTGAACCAGTGAAGAAATCTCATTGCTAGGTATTTCGAGTCTGTTACCTGCACTACTACCGTTCACCTCCGAGACCAAACTTTTAGATTTCAACGTTTCAAGCTCAAGTCTTTCCTGCACTAATTCACGGGCACGCCTCGCGCGTTCTGGTTCATTCTTTGCTTTTCCCTCCCGCTCTTGCCTTTCAGCCTGCACTCTTTCATCCCGCTCCTGCTTTTCCTTCTTTGCTCTTTCATCCCGTTCCCACTTTTGAATCAGCTCCCAAGCCTCCCGAAGCTCCACG